CACAGCAACGGCCTCTTTTGCAATCTTGCCATTGACTGATGCGAGGACAAAGTCGGCATCGAGATCGCCCGACGAAATTGCCTCATGCAACTTTCGCACCACTACAGCAAAAATCCGTGGACACCTCACAGCCGCGCGAACAACACGTTTGGAGTGTGAAGCCAACACGCGGTGAGCGGCATGTCGAAAGTCAAGACCCTCCGCGTCCAGAGTGCCACGCAAGTCTTGCCAAGACTCCTCCCACCTCTCGCGGCGGCGTGCTTTCTTGCGCGCCCGAGCGCTCAAAGGAATGCCAACTGTCACAGAACGGATTGACGGAGCATCGACATACTCAGCGTGTTCCACAGCATGGTCTGCCATCACAAGCGCCTTGCAACATTCAAGGTGTGCCATCGCCCTGCGGCTGCAAACACACACACGCACACAAGGGGGCGAACACCTTTGAGCCACTACTCGACATGTGAACTACCACAAGCATCATCATCAGCATCAGCATCAGCATCAGCATCATCATAATCATAATCATAATCATAATCATCATCATCATCATCATCATCATCATCAGTATGGTAATGCCGACGCCACACAAAACAACTGTATTGGTTATATCAAGACAACGTCGGACTATCCAGTAGCCTTGTCTACACGTAGAATAGATTGTCTGATGCATACATGTTTGCTTAAATCGGTATCGAGGTGACCATCGGTCGGCATGATACCTGATGCGCTGATCAAGAGTCACGAGTTCATGTTTTTACTGGGAATATTTCGAAAGCCGTAGGCGACATTTGGGCTGTAGCTCTCAAACACATTCTTGACCGAGTGAATGAACATGCCAAGCGTGCCTACTGTGGACCCCTGTCTGGCTCTCGAGCTCCACGGTGTGGTCTCTGGGGCCATGCGCAACTCTCTGGGGCAACTTGGAATGTGTCGGAACCCTTCGGGGCCTTTCGGGACCCTTGGGGGCCTTCGGGACACTCCTACCTGCCAGGTATCCCATGCCGTACACCGCGCTGCTCCAGGGGAACATGTTGTCGGCGAGAAGAAGCATGTTGGGCCATTCGTGCCCGGTCCGTGGCACGGCCGCCCTGCCGGATCTCAAGCAAACAGCGCAGAACAAAAAGCTGCGGCCGTTCGGGCGGGAGGGCATGGGCGCACGGGCTTGGCGCGGGCGCGATGCAGGCTTGCGCGCAGGGGGGGCCCATCGGCGCAGGGCGGGGGAGGGCTCACGAGGGTGGGGGGGGCGCAGCGGGGCACTGAGGGATAGCGAGTGTCTCGAAGCTAATGTACGGGGCATACCGTGCCGTCGAGGACGACAGGACGGGGGAACGGCGGCCAGAAATCGGCGTGCCGCAGGCAGATGACGACGATCGCGAAGGCGGGGGGCCAGGGCCGGCTGTGCGGGCGGACAGGCGGGAGGGGGGCCGTGTGAAGAAAGCAGGCAAGGAGAACACAAAGAGTGCGGATGTCATAGCGAGCGGGCAGGGACTCCAATGATTTTTGTCGTGTTCGGGATGGCACAAGTTTGCGTTCCATCTGGGGCGCTGTTTCTGTCGCGGTCTCAGGCTTGGAGTCCGCCCGCGGCCCACCTGTCCGTTTCTTGCCGTTCCCCATGCGGTCCTCGCTGTCCGACATCTCAGTGCGCCTGCCTGACGTCCACTCTCCGGGGTCCCCGTTCCAGCCGCTTATAGTGGAGCCAGGAACGAAACAACTGATCACGGCGGAAAAAAAGCGCCGCCAGCGCTTTTCCCAGCAACTTCAGGCAGCGAGCCGTACCTCCGACGCCGACTCTGCTTTTCACGGCATGCTGCCCCCCAGGGACCCGGGCCCCTCCCCCGGAACCAATTTCTCATGCCGCGTACTTTTTTGGGGCGGCCCGGGTCCCGGAGAGGGCCCCCGGATGCCTCTCTCCCGCGACGCGAGGAAGGAAGCGGGGTGGGGCGGGGGTGGGGGGCGGCGAGGGGGCGCACGCGCAGTGAGAATCTGCGCGGGGGGGGGTACAGGTCAGTCTTTCATACATCGGATGTCTTAGAACATCGGATTTTAAATACACTTTTCATTTATGAATACATTGATGCATGAACTCCTCGTTGTTTGTAGTACTGAATCCCTGCATTTTCATACATGATCCGTACGCGGAGCATGTATTAAAAACGGCACTGCAATGCGGGTGGGGCAAGGGGAGGGGGCACAATGAGCGCGCGTGTGCGGCCAGGGTGTGCCGAGGGGGGCGGGCTGGCAGGGCGGGCCCGAGGGCCACAGTTCCCCAAACGGTGCTGGCACTCAGGGGTGCTTACGTCCCCAGAGATCCGATGTCGTGATTTTTTCAATACGCGGTCCCCCGAAGTCTCGACCCATTCCCCAGGACCGGTTTTTCATCCTGAGTCGTTTTTTGACGGTCCCGGGGCCCGGCGAGGGCCCCTAGAGGCAGAAAATGGAGAAAAACCTCCGTCTTGATTTTTTCAATACGTTGGATCTCTGGGTCTCTTGCTCAAACAGACTGGATCTGCATCGATGGGTACGCCGGGGTCTCGCCTATGGTGCCCCGGTTGGTGCCGGCCCGTGGGCGCGCCCCTTGGACGCCCCGCGCTCGCAGGCTAATTACACAGACCCCCGACGCCGTGACTTGTTCACGGCGTCGACCCCTGGAGGTCTCGACCCATTCCTTCGGGTCGGGCGAAAGGGGGGGTAGCAAAGGGGGGGTTTGAGAATCAGCTCACGCAGCTGATTTTCCCGGCGCCTCCCGGCGCCGGGAGGCGGCTATGTATCGAGGAAGGGGCCCCTCGGTGGGGCCGAAACCAGCTGCATGCAGCAAATTTTGTAACCCCCCCTTTCCCAATCCCCCCCTTTCGCCCGGCCCGATTCCTCTGGACCGGCTCTTCATCCTGCGTCCTCTTTTGGCGGCCCCGAGGGCCGGCAAGGGCCCCCCGAGGCCGAACACTTAGCGAAAAACCTCCTCCCGTCAGGGTTTTTTCCATGACCCGAGGGGTTTGCCGAGGCTTCGAGGCTTCGCCGGGTGCCCGAGGTTTGGCTATGCCGAGGTGTCGGGTGTGCCGAGGCTTCGCTGGGGTCTATAGGTGTGCCGAGGTGTCGCCCGGTGCCCGCCCGCCGGCGCTCCGCGCTGGGGGGGGTGTCCCCAAGGCTTCGCCCGGTGCCAGCCCGTGGGCGCCTCGTGGGCGCCCCGAAGGCCTGCACGACGCAGGTGGCGCAACGTAACCTCGCGTGGGCCAGCACAGCCTGCACCACACGGCTTGCAAACCACGCAGCTTGTGCCACATGCCTTGCGCCACGCAGCTTGCGCCGCGCAGCGTGCATGTCGTGGAGTGCCGCGCGTATAGCTCGCACCATGCTGAAGAGAACACGCATGGCAGCAATATAAAGCACACGAGCCAACTAAACATGATATCTAGCCAATCCCTGTCAGAAGATATTTCACCACATCAGAGCGCAACCGTGCTGTACCTGCTCCGTGTACCAGGCCATTCGTATTTGGGCACCTGGATTATTGGACAACTGGCCCAACGCACGCTGACGGAATGAGATTCCCGGCCCTGCTGTCTTGGCCGGTGTTCGTGGTTTCTCCTCTGTGCAGCGCGAATCCTGCTTCTTGGCGCAAGCTGTGTGGTGCAAGCTATGTGACACAGCTTGCACCACACATCTTGCGCCAAGTAGCACACACAACAATGCAATAATTAACTGTACGTCACGATGACTAGCACTTGCAGGATTAAGTGCGAATGTGTGCACGTTTCCTTGCACCCGAAATTGGTGCTATGCATATATGGTGTTATATGTATTGTCTTTACTCTGTACAGATTCCGACAATCAACTATCAGATATACGTATTCACGCTAGCCAGCGATGACCCCACACAATAGAATAGTGCACCCTCGATGTGCAATACATGCGTTGCAAGATATGCCACACGTTCTTATGGTAGACCAAACATGTTGCACGCTAGCTGGCGAACCCAGGTAGCTACGCTGTGCAAGCTATGTGGCTCCATCAATGTGGGCGGTGCTATACGGTGCGAACTATTTGGTGCAAGCTGTGTGATGAAACCTGCTTGATGCTAGCAGTGTGACAGTCTGTGTGACGCAGTATACGCGGTACGCGTTGCAAGCTATGCGATTCACTCTGCATGCGGTTCGTGGTGACGTGCGTTGCAAGCTTCCTGGTGCAAGCTATGTGATGCAAACTCTGTGATGCAATATAGTGGCGCAAGCTATGTTGAACAAGCGTGACCCCCGGGACCACCAGCAGGCCCCCAACAGACCCCGAGGGGCCCCCCAAGAGGCCCCGAGAGGGGCCTAACATGAGCCCCAAAGAAGCCCCCCAAGAGGCTTCAGACTGCGTCCAAGAGGTACCCGAGAGACGTCCCAAGAGACCCGAACGGGCATCCGCAAGGCCTCTGTTCCACGAGCCCAGGCACACTAGCGGCCTGGGTCGACCGACGGCAAGGGGAAGAAGCAAGGGAATCATAAATGCCGTAACGCTCCATGCAGAGATCGAAATGCACAAAAGGACCCGTGATCCCAGGGACACAACAGCTTGTGAATTCTGAAGTGGCCGTGCTCCCAGGACCACGAGCCCTTCCGCATTACGCAAGGGTCCGCCCTCCGCCGAGGAAAAAGAAGGGAGAAGATCCGGATCTCTTTCTGCCGGCCACGCCCCACACCCAGAGGTCGCGCTCGTGGCACGAGCGGACACCTCGAAACTCACGTGGAGGCAGACAGCCGGGCACGCCCGACGCAGGGGCACGAGGGAGGCGGACTGTGCGAAACGGAACCTCCACCGGCCAGCTGCTCTCCGTCAGCTCGGCATTGGGGCCACCGCTCAGGGCGTCGGAGGCCAACTCAGAATGGAGGCGGCCACGCCAGGCGGAAGCAGCGCGTGGCGGCGCCTGCGACGCAGCACCCTCGAAAACCTGGCGGCCTTCCACGGGCCGCCCGAAAATCGCCTGGAGGCTGGCCATACAGCAGGCCCACATGCGCCCATGGTCACGCTCCCGCGATCGTCTCGTTCACGACAGCCTCAGGGTTCCAACGGTGCAGACAAGAAGGAAGCGCGTTTCACGGGCGTTTGGCTGAAATATACAAGGTAAGGGCCCTCTGGACCCAGGGACCCTCTCCCCCCCTCTCCCCCCTAACCCTCTCACCCGCCCCCAAACACCCTGTGCTGGAGAGGAGGGATTACGACCCCCACTCTCGCGCCAGCAAAAGATGCGCTGGTTGTCGTCGTCGTCGTCGTCGTCGTCGTCGTCGTCGTCGTCGTCGTCGTCGTCGTCGTCGTCGTCGTCTGGCGTCGTCGTCAATTACAGGCGTGAAGGAATTGAGGAAGCCAGGGATAGGACAGACAAATCTTGGGCCCCTTCCAAGACCACAGAGGTCAGGGCGTTCAATTCCCCCCGTAAGGTCTGTCATGGGAGGGGGGGTGAGCGGAAAGGGGTAGCGATAACGGCGTCGGGGCGGGAGAGGGATCCCGGCGGCGTCCTTGCAATCATTCGGGCGCGCACGATCGGAAACCCACGCTTGTGTGCAGCACCGGTACACCGCATGCTTGCGCGCACCACACCCACCTGCATACTCTCAGACGCGCGCACATACACACACACACACACGGTCGATGTCCCAATCCTGTATGCGTTGCAAGCAGACGGCGGTTGGAACCGCAGGACCGTGTGCACTGCAGTACGCCTGTGAGCACCACTACGGCCTGCGAGCTCCACAGCGTCCCCAAGAGCAGCGCAGTGCGCTTGTGACCAGCAGGCGGCGGGGGTTGCGCTGGTCTCCACGAGAAACACAAGAACCTGCGAGTGCAACGATCTGCCCAGCGGTGCACTGGACAAGTAGCAGAACAGCCCGCTGGCAACACAAGCGGGCCTGCGAGCGCCGCCATGGGCTTGCGAAGAACAGCAGCAACAACAACAACTGATTTATGCACGGCCATAAGCCAGACCTTGCCAGTACCGCTGCGATCCGCCACCACCGCAGTGCTTGCGAACGTGAACACAATAGCGCATGCCACCACAGTGCGCCTGAGAACGGCATCAGAACACGCATGCATAACAGTTTGCTGGATATGGCAAGCACTGTGAACATTGGCGACCATCTCAATGCCTGCGAAGACAGTCATAGACTGTGAGCACCACAGCGTGGCATTGAGCTCCATGCTGCACTTGCGAGCACGAGCAACACACGTATGCATAATATCACGCCAAACCCTGCCAATGCCACAATAGCGGCCCGCCGCCACCATATGCCTGCGAGCACCACGGCGGCCTGCGAGCTCCACAGCGGGCGCGCGATCGAACCCCCTCCCCAGCAACTGCAAAAAAACAGCAGCACAGCGTGTACGCACGACAGTATGGCTGCCAAGCCTTGCCGTTGACACATCCGTCTGCGGGCTTCACGCCCATGCCATTGAACAACACGGCAGCCCGCGAGCACCACAACGTGCCTACGAACACCACAGCGCGCTTGCGAACAACAGCGACAGCACATGTATACGCATCAGTATGCCGGACCCTGCCGCCGCACCGAAGCCCACGAACAGCAACATACTTTTTGAGCGCACGAGGACCCTGCGAGCACAGCGACCTGTCTGTGCGCGCCACGCGCCTGTGTACTTCACATATATAACCGCCAGCTTGCCTGCACCAACTTGTGATAAGCTCCCTTTTCACTGCCTCACTCCTCCTCCGCCTCCTCCTCCTCCGCTTTGTCATTCGTGTGTGTGTGTGTGTGTGTGTGTGTGTGTGTGTGTGTGTGTGTGCGAACGGACTGCGATCACCGCGGCGTGCCTGTGAACGCCAGTCGGTCGGCAGACGGCGAGGGAAGCCGGACCGCGCCAATACCACAAGAGCTTGCGACCGTCAGCATGAGCATGAGCAACAGCATCCTGGACCCTGTAATATTACGCTGCTCCCCTCGCGCTTTTAAGGACCACATCCCAGAAATTAACTTCGAGCACCCAGGGAAGTATCGATCGAGGCAGCGTCGAACGAGCATCGCCTCCCCGGGGCCGACACGCGAAGGCCCTCCAGTTTCGGTGCTTCCTCGGTGCTCGAGATTCTCTGTGGCGGTCCAGGCTGACGTAGGCTGGAACACCGCAGCCCTGCCAGTGCCCACCGCCTGCGGGCACCGCGACCGCCCGCAGACGCCAGAGCACGTCCCGGGCCCCGGCGAAAGGGGGGGATAGCAAAGGGGGGGGGTGAGAATCAGCTCACGTAATTAGCTGATTCTCCCGGCGCCTCCCGGCGCCGGAGGCGGCCATGCATCGAGGAATGGGCCCCTCGGCGGGGCCGAAACCAGCTGCATGCAGCAAATATTTCGTACCCCCCCCTTTCCCAATCCCCCCCTTTCGTCCGGCCCGAACGTCTGCTGGGCGCACCGAGGTGCGCCGCAGCCGACGCCATCGAGGGCGAGGCGGTGGCGGAGGGCCGCTCCGCCTGCCCTGCCCAGGGAGGGTGCGCCCCGAGGGGGGGGGGGGCAGGCGGGGGGCGCGTGCCGGAAGCGGCTAGTCCGGGCGTCCCTCGGCGCGGAGACCTCTCCTGGTGTTAGTAGGCGGGCGTGTTCCTCCTCCTCATCCTCTCCTCCCTCCCCCTCCCTACTTCTCCCCCTCCTCCTCCTACCCTTCGACCTCCTCCCCCTCCTCCTCCTCCTCTTCCTCCTCCTCTCTCCCCAGGCCGCTACCCCTGGACTGCGCACGTGCCTTGGGCCAGGACATCTGTGGACCCCCCCCCCCTCGTCGGACGCGCCGCCCTCTTCTTGTCGGCCCTTCCTGGTGTTAGGTCGGGCGTGTTCCCCTACAGGCGGCTGTTGGACGAAACATCAAACATCGTAGAAAAGTATGCAAGCAATACTCGAAAAAATAACCAAAACATCGTCCCCAGACCATCTTTGGACTATTTTCGAATACTCCTCCTGCAAGAGGGACAGGCCCGACTTGACCCTGGTGCTTCTCGTCGCGGCGGGATCCGCCTGAGACGGCGGGCCAGGACGGACCCCAGGGTCTGGGAGCCGACGTTGGCCGGAGCTGGGCCAGGCGGGCGAGCCGCCGCTGCTTCAGCTGGCCTTCCTCCGAATTTCTCTCGGCCCCTTTCTGGCCATCGCTCGGACGTCCATTCCCTGTGTTTTTTTTCGGTTTTGTGCGTGGCTTCTTCGCCACGTGCTCAAGGATGCTCCTCGATGGTCCTCGCCGGGAAAGAATGCACACGTCCGGGCGATGCCAAGCTTTCCCGTGGACCCCTGCTCCATCCCAGGGGCGCTTCTTGATGGCCCCATGGGGCGTGCCAAAACCTGACGGAATGGTCCTGGGGCCCGGGTCGACGCGGGAAACTCTGCAGGCTCATCCGAGACCACCGGCCGCCACGACAGATCCCGGCTCGCAGGATGCCTGGGGCCCGCTTTCCAGGCCCTCGGCGTACGTTGCGATTTTGTCACAGCGTTGACCCCGGAGGTCTGGACACCCCGGGACCGACTTTTCATCCTATATCTTTTCCCGGCGGTCCCGGGGCTTCGTGAGGGCCCCCAGAGGCCAGACGCCCAGAAACGCGGACCTACACTCCCGTCGTGCGTGGTGTCACGACGCTGGCCTTCCATGGCGCGCAAACGGGCATGCAAACACCATGCGCCACCCCTGGGAGGCGAGACGAGACGAGACGCGCGTGTCCGCCGGCAGGCGGGCTCGCCCTTTACGAGCGGCGCGGGCGGGCTGGGGCCCGGTCAGTTGTGCGCGTGCGCAGGGCAGTCCTTCCCCCAATTGTTCCACCACGTCCGGTCTCCAGCAGCATCCAACCACGACGTGGTGTTGTCCCCCAGTGGTGGCCCGTGCAAGCTGCGATGCCTCGCAGCGCCCGAGCAGCACACGCAGCACGGGCGCACCGCGCAGCGCGCCGCGCTGCCCGGGCGGCGCCGCGCGGCCAGACGAAGCGCCCGCAAACCGAGCACACGCGCGCTCGGACCTCGGAGAGCGCGCGCGGCGCCCGGGGGGGGCCGACGGACACAGAGCGTATACGGCTGGGTCGGGGCACGTTCGGGGATGGGCAGAGCCCCCTTTGGCAAAACAAAGGATTGCAAAAAGGATTGCACAAAAAATCCTTCGGAGGATTGTAAAAAAAAACCTTCGGTTTTTTTTGCAATCCTTCGGAGGATTGCAAAAAAAAACCTTCGGGTTTTTTTTGCAATCCTTCGGAGGGTTTTTTTTTGCAATCCTTCGGTTTGGCGAAATCGACCTCGGGCCCAAACCTGGCGGGCACAAGCCTGGAAAAGGACGACTGCGGCGCCCTCTCGAGGACCGAAGACGCACAATTCACGGATCGACGCGTCGGGGTGGGGGTTCTGTCCGCCCCCGGCACGTCCCCCCCATACAGGCGGATCTTGGACGAAGCAACAGGACACGCCCCAGACGTGTTCACAGAAAAATGGCCAAACACACCATCGAAGAATCGTGCCCGGGCCAATGTCTGGACTGCTGTTGGGTACTCCTCCTGCAGAGGGACCGGCCCGACGCGAGCACACGGCCGCGCACCTGCGCTCGGCGTGTGGCCCCGGGCGGCATCCGGCGACGCGCCGAGTACCCATAAGCTGCTGCACGTGAGTACAGGCTGGGGCGCACAGGGACATACCAATACTGGATGTCCTCCTTGGAGGCGCGCGTCCGACCCGAACATGTAGTATACCCATTTTGTGGTAGATCGTTTCCCGAGCGGCGTGGCCAGACAGCGCCCGCCACGACGCATCCACTCTAAGATTTCTCGGTGCGCGCGACGCCCCTGAGGGGGGGCGGCGCACATACAGTGCAAGCATGTTGGGGTGACGCCGATCTGTGGGCGATGCCGTTTCCATAGAGGCCTCCCAGCTGGGTCCGAGCAGATGGGGTCGGTGACTACCTACCAGACCACCCCAACCCAACCCGAAGACCCGAATTTGACCCGCATTTCGGGTTGGGGGGGGTACGGATTCCATGTGTTTTTTCAACGTTCCCGGACCCCCCCCAC